TCTAAAACTGCAGTAGCAGTGTAATAAGTGGAGCACTATTTCTTTTGTACCCTTAATGTTTTGTTGTTGTTGCTGTTGTTATGTGCCGTGGAGTCAGTTCCGACTCATAGCAACCCTGTACAGGGTTTCCGAGGCTGTAAAACTTTACAGGAGCCTTAGAAAGCCTCATCTTTCTCCCATGGAACAGCTGGCAGTTTCAAACCATGAGATTAGTAGCACAACTCGTAACCACTACACTACCAGAGCTCCTTCAGCAAGAAAATATCTAAGATTAATATGATAGTATGTAAGAATACCAGAGAAAATAGGACGTTTCTAGCAAATAAACAAACCCCTTTGAAAATTTTATCATATAGAGCAGCAGGGAACACATTTTGAATTGTAACCAAGCATAGGAAAGATGTGCATTATTTATCTTAAAATCACAACAAAACAAAAACCAAACAAATCACAGCAGAAACTAGAGAACTCAATGAGGAATACAGCAGATAACTGAATTAAAATCGAAAACCATTTGAAGACAATAAGAACAAAATAAATTATAACTAAAATAATCCATTAAACTTTTATTTTTGAAGTTTTTTTGTTGTTGTTAAGTGCTGTTGAGCCAGTTCCAACCCACAGCGACCCTGTATAGAGTTTCCAAGGAAAGCTGGTGAGCTTGAACTGCCGACCTTGCAGTTGAAACGGCTTTATAGTCTGACACATTAACCCACAGCGCCACACCAGAACTATAAAAATGGGATCCAGAATGTTCTGTGTTGCAAAGAAGTTGCATTCCATTTAGTTATTAATTGGGTAATTTAAAAATAAACTAGTGCCACTGGAAACATTTATATTCTTTGTTATACAAAATTATACTGTATTGACATTTATAAATGCTATACCTGAAAATGAGTCTTGGTGTGGCGCTGTGGGTTAATGCGCCAGACTGCAAAGCCATTAAATTGCAAGGTCGGCGGTTTCAAGCTCACCAGTTGCTCCTCTGAAACCCTATACAAGGGTCGCTATGGGTCGGAAATGACTTGATGGCACTTAACAACAACAACAACAACATACCTGAAAATGGGAGCACTCTACATGATAAGCATTGAACTGTAAGCCACAAGGTCACCAGTATGAACTATGAACCCACCAACTGCTCTGTGGGAGAAATATGAGACTTTCTGCTCCCTACAAGATTTAAAGCCTCAGAAATCAGATACAGACTTGGTATGAATCAGAAACAACTCCAAGGCACTTAACAACAACATACTTGAAAGTCTTGAAATAAAAGATCATGCATAAGAAGATAAAATATTATACTGTTGTTGTTGTTAGTGTCATCAAATCGATTCTGACCCATAGCGACCCTGTACAGGGTTTCCAAAGAGCAGCTGGTGAGGTTGAACCACCGACCTTGCAGTTTAAATGACTTTGCAGTCTGATGCATTAGCCTACATCACCACACCAGGACTCCTGTACTGATGTTGTTAAGTGCTGTCGAGTCAATTCTGACCCGTAGCAACCCTGTATGGGGCTTCTGAGGAGCAGCTAGTGAGCTTGGACCACTGACCTTGCAGTTCAAACGGCTTTACAGTGTGCATTAACCTACAGCGCCACACCAGGACTCCTGTACGATGTAGTTCTCCCCAATGTGTAGGGTCACTATGAGTCAGAATAGACTCAACAGCAGCACCAATGGTTTTTTATTTGTTTACTTGTTTGTTCCTAATTTCGTTCTTCCCATATTTGTTTGGAGTCCTGGTGTAGCACTGTGGGCTGGACTGCAAAGTCGTTTAACCAAAGGGCTGGTGGTTCAAGTTTACCAGTCGCTCCTTGGGAACCCTATAAAGGATTGCTATGAGTTGGAAACGACTCAATAGCATGTTATAAACAAACATATTTGTTTACAGAGTTAATATCATTTCCAGAACATGTTACTAAGGGGCACTGAATTCATATTAAAGAAGGTTGAATAATTTGTAAAAGGATCTTGACATGCAGTTTGTAATAAAAGTCATTGAGCTATGCATGTAGAAATTGTCAAATAGGCAAAGAATTATACTTTTTGTGTATATTTTCACCAGAAAAAAGAAATTAAATGGCAAGTTACTGACTCAGGACTTGAAATACAGACCTGTGACACAAAATATAATGATTCAAATCTAAAATGACTTCAAAAAGTCCAAGGAAAAAATCCATTATTGTTTAATTTCATTTTTACATGATCTTTTTGAGGTCTCCTTGAAAATTACAAAAGACCCCTGATGGCTCTGGGGGATAAGTGTTGGACTACATCAAGGTCAGTGGTTCAAGTCCATCAACTGTTCCTAGGGAGATAGTTGAGGTTGTCTTCTCTCATAAAGATTATAGTTTCAAAAACCCTGAATAGGTTTGCTGTGAATCAGAAATGACTCTATAACAGTGAATTTTGGAGTATGACAGTTCACATTTTAAAAATCAGTGGGGTCAGAGTGCTATTATTCAACAAAAAATTAAAAAATGGAAAATTGTATGAGGGAAGAATCAAATTAGATTGTCATAGCAAAGCAATAAGTAATGTAATATAAAAGGAGCATCAAGTTAAAAGGATTGTCATCAAGAATTTGTTGCTATTATGTTGTTGTTGTTAAATGCCATACAGTCAGTTCTGACTCATACCCACCCTGTATAGGGTTTCTAAGGAGCAGCTGGTGCGTTTGAACTGCTAACCTTGTGGCTCAAACCGACCTAGAGTTTCACATAGGTGAGTTCAATCTGTTCAAAGTGTGAGCAAATTTACATAACATTAAAGGGCAAGGGGGAGCATGGCGGCCTCACAATATAAGCAATGGACTTCAAACCACAGAGTTGGCGGTTCCAGCCCATCTGTTGCTATGAATTGGAGCCAAATCAACAGCACTTAACAACAAGAGCAACAAAGGGCAGGTATGAGTTGTCCATTGGAGCCATAGTGGCACTTTGCGTTAGACACTGGCTGCTAACCAAAAGGTTGGTGGTTGAAAACCACCAGATTCTCTGTAGGAGAAAGATGAGATTATCTGCTCCTATGCGTAGTGGTTACGAATCGGGCTGCAAACCTTAAGGTCAGCGGTTCGAAACTACCAGCCGCTCCGCGGGAGTAAGATGAGGCTTTCTACTCCCGTAAAGATTTACACCCTCGGAAACCCTGTACAGGGTCGCTATGGGTCGGACCCGACTCGATGGCACTTAACAACAACAACAACAACAATAAATACTTACATATTGGAAACCCTGTATAGGGTCGCTATGAGTTAGAACAGACTCGATGGCAGTGAGTTGTTTTCGGGTTTGTGAGTTGTCCATAACATAACCCCGTGACTGCCTGCATTGGATTATAGTAACATTTAACATATTTTCAATCATTCTTTGGCCAGCTGTTGTCCCTCTTTTTTGAACTTTGTTCATACTGCTTTCAATGCTTTGCAAATAAATAGAAAACCAAGAATCTGAATTCAGATAAAATGAAGTTCAGCTCTAGCATTAAATAGTTGTTTTGATTCTTTGTAATTTTTGTTTTATTTCAATCTCTTCAATTGTTATTGTTGCTGTTGAGTACCATCGAGTCAGTTCCAGCCCATAGCACCCTATACAGGGTTTCCAAGGAGCAGCTAGTGAGCTTGAACCACTGACCTTGCAGTTCAAACTGACTTTGAGGTCCAGTGCATTAACCCACAGCCCCACACCAGGACTATGATTATAGTAGTACCTAAATCCTGCTGCTGTTAATGAGTACCAGATGAGATGACTTGATAAAGTTTAGGATGCTGACATAAAAGATTAAAGAAAATATCATGAAAATGCCATTATTATTGGGGTGTTTACATTGGCTACTTATTTCAATAAATATTTCTGAATCAATTATTATATATTTGCAATAATTATTAAGGTCATCTTTTCTGCAATTTAAAAAGCATGACTACTTTTAAGAATATTCAGAATTTTTGAGGTGTAGATTTTCAGCAACCTCACTAACTCTTATGCCTTAAAAATTCTCCTACTCATCAATATGTTGTCATTGTTGTTATGTGCCATGGAGTCGGTTCCGACTCATAGTGACCCTGTACAGGGTTTCCGAGGCTGAAAATCTTTAAGGGAGCAGAAAGCCTCATCCTTCTCCTGCAGAACAGCTGGTAGTTTCGAACTGCTGATCCTGAGGTTAGCAGCCTGATTAGTAACTACTAGGCTACCAGAGCTCCTTATCAATATGTAGTTGTTGTTGTTAAGTGCCATCGAATTGGTGCCAACTCATAACAACCTTATGCACAGCAGAAAGAAACACTGCCCAATCCTGGGCCAACCTCACTATTGTTGCCACGTTTGAGCCCACTGATGCTACCACTTAGCCAATCCATCTTGTTGGGGGTCTTCCTCTTTTCAAACGTGAGATCCTTCATATGTAGTAGGGCAGTTAATATATAGAATAAAAAGATGTACATCCTTTAATGTATTTTCAAGGAATAACTAACTTTGCAAAGGCAATTATTTTTCATATGTTTGAGTAGCTTAAGGACACTAGTTATAATTTTCCAAAATCCTCCTTTCATTCATGTTCCCAAGCATTAAGTGGTATGGAATTCAATTATTCAATATCTCAATCATAAAATATTTTGTAAGTCGTACTTTTATATTATGGGATGGAAAATCAAGCAAATAGGTTATACTTTCTCTGTTTTTCTACCAACTTACTAAAAACGTGTTTCATAATTATAAAATTATATATCTTTAATGTGTATTAAATATTTATTGTTGTTGTTGATGTTAAGTGCTGCCGAGTCGGTTCCAACCCATAGCAACCCTCTAGAGGGTTTCCAAGGAGCGACTGGTGAGCTTGAACCACCAACCTTGCAGTTCAAACTGACTTTGCAGTCTAGCGCATTAACCCACAGCACCACACCAGGACTCCAAATATTTATTAAGACAATAGATAACATATTTCACTATATCTGAAATATAGCAACATGAGAATAACAGAATATAAGATAGAAAATAGATACCTTTTATATGACTTAGGGAGGTGATTCTGAAGGATGAATGCTTAACAAGGAAGCTATCCCAGCTTTTGTCTAGGAGAAGACCACTGAATTGCTCCTGATCTAATTAAAAATAATAATAATAATTAGATATGACACTTTAAAGTCACATTGAAAAGGAAAATATTACTAGAGGTTGAAATAGATCAAAGGTCTCCCCTAAAGGGAAACTTTTCAGACAAATATTTTAAAAATATTTTGAAATGTAACCTCACTGGCGTTTAGTCTTGAAAAACATACTGAACAGTATAAATGATTTTTCTATAATTTGATAAATAGTATAAAATCAACTAACAGTTAAACTACTTCAAATTAAACAGACAATATTGAGACTCTCTTTGAATGCATTGATCTAAAAATAAATTATAGCATTGTATTCACTTATGCATAAACATTCATACAACTTTATGCATAAATTAACATTCATGTCAGTTTAACAATAATTTTAAACTAATAAGTACAAAATTAATCAACTTTCCAAAGCTATTTGCTGGGTACCTATTATATAACAACTATAGTCATTGGGTGATACCATTCATTTCTGTTTGTTACATTGAGTCAGTGCCAACTTATACCAGCCCCATGTACAATAGAAGGAAATGCAGCCCAGCCCTGCACCATTCTCTCACTCATTGATATGTTTGAAGCCATTGTTGCAGTCATTGTGTTAGTCTATCTCATTGAGGGTCATCATCTTTTTGCTGACCCTCTATTTTACCAAGCATGATGTCCTTCTCCAGGGACTGGTCCCCCTAGATAACATGTCCAAAGTACACCATTCTCCCTTCTAAAGAGCATTCTGTATGTACTTCTTCCAATACAAATATGCTTGTTTTTCTGTCAGTCCATGTTGCATTCAATATTCTTAACCATCACCAGAATTTGAAGACGTCAATCCTTCTTCAGTCTTTCATATTCATTGTCCAGGTTTCCCATGCCTGTGAGGTGATTGTGTCAGGTGTGCCTTAGTCCTCAAAGTAACAACTTTGCTTTTTAACATTTTTAAAGATTAAAAGATAAAGGCCTCTGCAAGCTAAATCTGTCCTTGAAAAAAATGAGGATTAGGTAACATACAATAGCATTTTATATGTATTTACCGTTTTGCCTATAAACCCTATCTCTAAAAGTATACCTTAAATATACACTCCACGGCCATTAAATTGATTGTGACTCATAGAAACCCTATAGGAGAGAGGAGAACTGCCCCATAGGGTTTCTAAAATTGTAAATCTTTATGGAAATATCTTTTTCTCATTTAGTGACTGGTGGATTTGAACTACCAACCTTTCAGTTAGCCACTGATCACTTAACCAATGTGCCACCAGGACTCCTGGTATCTCCTCAAATATGAAAAAACATACATAAAAGGTCATTAACTAAGCAAATATATACACAGCAAAATATTACAAATAAGAAATACATTGAAAGACTTTGGTTGTATGTAAGCAATGGTGCAACAACAAAATGAGGTACTAAAAAGTTGCAAAAATAAATGAGATTCCACAACCTGAGACCAGAAGAATTAGATGGTGCCCAGCTATTACTACCAGCTGCTTGGAAAAGGGACTCATTAGAAGGTACTATATAAAAATGGAGTCCTGGTATGGCACTGTGAGTGAATGCACCAGACTGCAAAGCTGTTTGAACTGCAAGGTCGGTGGTTCAAGCTCACCAGCTGCTCCTTGGAAACCCTATCCAGGGTCGCTATGGGTCGGAATCAACTCAACAGCAGTTAACACAAAAATAAATAAAATGGAAGAAAATGTGAAACAAAACTCAAAATCATAGAAAGACCTGGCTTATTGGTCAGATAGACTGATGGAACCTCAAGACTATTGCTCTTTGTCACCCTTCAGGTCCGGAATTGAACTCACTCCAATGGTTCAGTTTATAGTCAAATAATAGATAGGGCTATAGGAAAAACAACAGCACTAGTGAGGTACACACACCATAGAATGGTCAGCAATTTGAGATCAAAAGGGCAGCATTTACTCAAGGGCAAAGTTAGAAGGGTTGGGAAAGAAGGAGGAATGGAAATAAGAGGCACAGAGGAAGTGGGATAAGGGATGTTATATTGAGGGATTGCAATCACTGAGATAAAATGAAATAGGTATGATTTGTGGAATGTAAAACTGATTATCTGCTCTAAAACTTTCACCCAAGTCATAATAAAGAATGTTTTTTTTTTATTATGTCCATGAAAAAGGTGTCCATTAACTACTTTACAAGGAATCCAGATGCATCCTTAGATGAAGTGATTAAATGTAAAAAAAATCACATAGTACCCTACCTTTGTTTGAGAAAGAGGATAGAGTAAGTGGATATGTATATATGGACTTATTCATATACATGTCCTTTTGCAAGAAGAAACACAGGATGGAATAATGAGAATCACATTAAGAAAGTTACCTATACTATGGGGTGAAATGAAATGGATGGTATAGATGTGGCGTAGATACGTTATCTCAAATTATCATGATAATTACAATTGCTTATTAATTGAAATAGATGTAGAAATTGTTGAGTTGGTACATATTCTGTTGTATTTATTCTCAATGTTGTTGTTGGTATGTGCCGTGAAGTCAGTTCCGACTCACTGCAACCCTATACAGAGTTTCCGAGGCTGTAAATCTTTACTGGGAGCAGAAAGCCTCATCTTTCTCCTGTGGAACAGCTGGTAGTTTTGAACTGCTGTCCCTGAGGTTCGCAGTCTGATTCGTAACCACTATGCTACCAGAGCTCCTTTTATAAAAATAGAATAAAAATAGAACACAGTTTTTAAATTATGGATAAAAAAGTATAGTCATTGTAACTTTCACCATACAACATGTTTGTCCTGCTGGATCTGGGTAAGACAAAGTAGGCAAAATGCTGATAGAATTATATGATCTAGTTGTGAGCAGTTAACAGAGAATATTGTGACTGTAAAAAGTTGGAACACTAGCATGCCTAAAATGAGTCATCACAGTTACAGAGATGGGGAATCCCACTCCTATTAAAGCAAAGCCAGCAAGAGAGCACATCCTTTGGACCCTGAGATACCTGTGGACTGAACCTCCTCAACTCAGGGACAGAAAGCTATGACATTAGAGGAGGAGTAGAGAAGTGGCAGAGAAGCAGCAGCGATGGAGCCAAGAGCCAGAGCATGACACAGAATAGTGAGCTTCCCAGTCCAAAGAGCAAGTCCAAGTGACTTTGGGCAGGAGGCTTGCTTGCAGAATAGGATGTGCCAGAGTAGGGAAGCCAGGTTTGCTGATTTAGAGAGTTAGAGATGAGTGCCTTCAGGATGAGGCTTATGGTAGAGTGGTGTGTTCTGTGAACATTTATCTGCAGCCCGAAAAGAGCTACCTAATGCCTGTGAGTACATCTAACAAAAGGCTATCACCTCTTGAACTTAAGACCTCAAGTTGTTATGTGTATATAAGAGATGCAATACAGTTGATAACAACCACCTTTTTAAATTTTATTATTTATCTACCTCAACATTCCATGACTATGCATTCAGATTAAAGGGAAGACTAGAGTAAGTACATTTAAAGTTGCAAAACTTGAGGAAAATGGATAGAACGTAAGGTATCCATTTTCTAAATTTGGTCCAACATTGTCAGGAGAATTTTGTTTCTCAAAGCACATCTCATCAATGACAAGAAACACTCCCTCACCGGGTTTCACACATCTGGCTTTCCAGAATATGTGACTTTAATGCTTATCATCATCTTATAATTTTATATTTTAGTACAAACTAGATTATTGGCAGGTCATCACTGTAGAACTAAATATCTACCTTCCAATTCTATACGATATCTCAACGCAGTTTAAATGTTACTATTTGATAAGGAACGGGAGCCCTGGTAGTACAGTGGATTATGAGTTAGGTTGCTACCCTAAAAATCAGTCATTGAATCTACTAGTCACTCCACAGGAGAAAGATGAGGCTTTCTGCTCCCATCAAGATTTAAAGTCTCATAAGGTCCTGGTTTGGCACTGCAGGATAATGCGCTGGACTGGAAGGCCAGTTTCAACCACAAGGTCGGCAGTTCAAACATACCAGCTGCTCCTCGGAAACCCTATACAGGGTTGCTATGGGTTGGAACCAACTCAAAGGCACTTAACAATAACAAAGGGTTGCTATGAGTCAGAACTATCTTGGTGGCACACAACCACCACCACCACCATTTACTAATGAAAAGTATATATCTGCTTTACTGGGCATGGTAAAAAAAAAAAAAAAAAATCTGGGAGACACAAAGACAAAACTATGATTCTGAATGTTTTTGGAATTGTGAAGATGCATAGGAGAATTTGGGAGATGTGCAATGCTTTTAGTTGATAACAACATATTGACTTTATTCAGCGTCAGGTTATTCCTACAGGTCCTAGAATTTGCTATAAATTAGCAATGATTGGCATACCAAGGAGGAGCAAAAAGAAAAAAGAAAAAAAAGGGTCACTAATCCTTACAATTAGTTAGGAGTCCTGGTATGGCACTTCAGGATAATGCTCTGGACTACAAGATCAGTTTTAACGGCAAGGTCAGTGGTTAAACCCACCAGCCACTCCTAGGAAACCCTATTCAAGGTCACTGTGGGTCAAAACTGACTTGGCAGCACTTAACAACAACAACAATCTTTACAAAAAGCATTTTCCTCCATACTACTGACCTCGTTAAAAAAAAAAAAAAAAAGGACAGAATGAAGAACCCAGTACAGTAATTTTGGAGACAAATAAAAGCATAAGGGAAGCAATAGCTAGTTTAAAAGAAGTATCCTGGTATTCTGATTAGCAACCTGCACATGGCCTTTGTCAAAATCAGATTGACAGAATTTAAGACAATATGTTTGAAACCATAGCGGAATGATGACCTACTGCATGGATGGCTCAACTTGTAACTTCCTGGCATTTTGCTCATTGCTGAGGTTAATAAAGTAAATCACTGAGTGGCATGCTGTGGTTGTTGGTACCCTTGAGTTGGTTCCGACTCATAGCAACCCTGTCTAGGGTTTCTGAGAGTGGCTGGTGGATTTAAACTGCTGACCTTGTGGCTAGCAGCCCATTGCGTATTA